ATGACATTTATATGTTAATTTTTAAAAAGTACAAAATGGTCATATTGTGAAAAGTTGTTCTCCCATTCCTGCCTTGAGTCCCCAGTATGTTTCTGCTATCGGCACTGAATGTTTTTTACTTCTTGTATATAATTCCTCCTTTTCCTCCCATTTTAAAAACCACTGGTTTAAAAGCCATTGCTAAGGCTTTCTTTTTTCGCTTAATGATATATGCAGTATGCATGCCTTAATGATAAGGACATGTTCTGAGAAATGCGTCATTAGGTGACTTCATTGTGAAAACGTCATAGAAAGTACTTAAACAAACCTAGATGTATACCTAACTATATGTCATATGGTATAGCCTAATGCCTTTAGGCTGCAAGCCGGTACAGCATGTTACTGTACCAAATACTGTAGGCAATTGCAACACAGTGGCAAATATTTGTATATTTAAACATATCTTAAGCATGGAAAAGGCACAGTAAAAATATGATATTATAATCCTACAGAACCACCATGGCATATGTGGTCCATCATTGACTGAAACATTGTTATGCAGTGCATGACTAAATTAGAGTATTTCATAATGGTGTTTTAAGAGCTTCCTCATCCTCCTTTCCAAGGCTCTACTGTTCAGTGTTTCACTGAATGGATAAGCCATAATTCATTAAACAGAAAAGTCTTTTTTTTTTTTTTTTTTAAAATAGAAAAATCTTGTCTTAATTTTCATGTCACTACCTGCTCTGTAAACAGCATTCATTCATATTAATGGAACTGAACTCCTGAATGTGACTGTGCAGAATATTTCTCTTCTTGATGGTTGACTATCCTAACTAGCTGAGAGGATTTTCCCTTCTTTAAGGACCAAGATGTTTAAGATTCAGTCATTTTGGAAATAAATCCTTCTAAATTGTGTTGTGTAACTATAAAATGTATTTCTTCTTAACAGTAAAATAGTGAGCATTTTAAAATGGTTTTAACACAATTATCAACATCAGTTATTGTTTAGGAATATAAAAGACTAATATTTTAGGAGCTTTTGCTGGTTTTGCCTTACTAAGTGAAACCATTTTGACACATATCATCTATCTATTTGGCCTGCTTTTTGGATTTTTTTTCCTCTTCATCTTTCTTGTTTCCTATGTTGGCTGCCTCTAACATAGTGTTCCTTTTTCCTCTGGTATTTATTCCCCACTGCTTCCCAGTTCCCTTTCTTAATTTGCTTTGTAAATTTGTGGTGGACAATCAGCCAGATAACCAGGACAGAAATATTTCTAAAATAAAAACAGATAGGTCCAGAGAGAAGGCCTGCTGGAGTTTTCCTCCAGTTGAAAATTTTGGAATGAATGTTTTGGAATTCTGGATACTTAGAGGGCCTTTTTGCTTCCTGGTTATTACCATGTTCTAGGACAGCTCTGTCTAATGGAACTTTCTGTGATGATAGAAATGTTTTATGTCTGCCCTATCCGTTCTGATAGTCACGATATCCTGATGTAGTTCTTGAGCACTTGACATGTGGCTAGTATTAACTAAACTTTTAATTTTAATTAAATTCAGACCACATGTGACAACTGGCTGTATGTTAGGTGACATAGTTCTAGACTGTAGTTAACTAACTTAAATACAGCAAGCTTGATTAGAGTAGACCTTGAACTAGGATGCTATTATTTTATAGTGCTGAGAAGAATAAATTTTTAGTTTTGGAAGGGACACAATTTGTAATGTAGATTATCAGATTAGGTTAAAGTAAATTATTAAATTGGAACTGCCTTTTCATATTGACATTACAGTTATTTCAAAGCATAGCATTCTAAAGCCATTGATACCAGCGTTTATTTATGGTTTGTATCTGTGGCAAAGCTGTGAGTCCTTTTGGTAACTAGGGTGAAATTAGTAGCACTCTAACTTTATTTATAGGACTTGGTTAGATAGTTGCCTGAGTGCCAGAAACTCCTACAAAAAACTTTGACCTTCCCTAACAAAAACTCAAAGGATAAAATGTTCCATAGTAGAAGATCTCACTTGTATCTGACATATACAAAACATTACTTTCTAATGGAGCAGTCTGTAACAAACAAACAAAAAAATGCATAAATAATTAAAAGATTTTGGTAACCGCTAGGAATAAAACAAATAGGTCACATTAACAGAGAGTATGGACTTGTGGGGAAAGACCTCCAACTAGATAGAGTAGTCTGGAGAGTTTTATTTGAGGAAGTGATATTTAAGATGAGATCTAAAAGATAAGAAGGAGCCAGCCTTGCAAAGAATGAAGGTAGAATGAGGAGGGATTTCAAAAAGAGGAAATGAAGGGTGTGCAGGAGAGGAATTGACACAAGATGAGTGTCTTTAGAACAGTGATTGAGAGGAGATATGATATGAAGTGAGATTGGAGAGGTGGGTACCTAGCAGGTCACATAAGGCCTTAAAGACCATCATAAGGAGTTTGGAAAGAAAAAAAAAATGTAATGTGATACCATAGAAGCGGGAGAGTGATATGATCTGGTGTTTGTTTCTCAAAGTTTCTCTGGCTGCTGTGTGATGAGTGTTTTGGAAGGGAGCAACAATGGAAATAGGGGAACTAGTGTGATACTCAGGAAAGAGATGATGGTGGTTTGGGTTAAGGTGGTGGCAGTGGAGATCAAGTGAAGTCACACGCAGAACTTGCTGTAGGCTGATGTGAGGGATGAGGGGTGAGGGAAGGGTTTCTGGCTTTCTTAATTGTCAGGTAGTGCCAGGGGATTTCAAGGGTGGTGATGGTGGAGAATTAAAGACCCAGTTTTGGGCATGTTTAATTTGACATGTTTGTGTGACAGCTGAGTAGCCATATTGGAGCATGGGACGAGGTCTCTGCTAAGGATGTAACTTGGTAGTTATTAACATGTTGATGGTATTTGAAGTGATGGGAATGGATGAGACAACTCAAAGACGACGACTCGGGATGAACTCCAAAGAACACTGTCCTTTTAGAGGTTTGTCCAAGGAGAAGCTGTAAAGAAATACTGAAACAGAATAACTGATGATGCTTGAAAAAACAACAACAACAAAAGCGACATTGTAGTATACAGTATCAGAAGCTAGAAGAAGAGAATGTTTAAGTAGGATGTCAACTTTGTTGAATCCTGCTAAGAGGTCAGATAAAAGTGGAAGTAGTAGACCTTGATAAGTTGATTTAAAGGAGTGGAGGGCTTGGAAACTTTGTTTTGAGTAGATTGAAGAAAATGAGGGATAAAGAAATTGAGATAGGTATAGACAACAACTTTTTCAAGATTATTTACCCTGAAGGGGTGAGCAGGGAAATAGCAGGTAGCTGGAGGAAGATGAGGGGTCAAAGGAAAATTGAAAAAATTAGGGTTCATTTAGTCATTTATTTATTATAAGACATTAGATTTAGTGATAAGAGATTGAATGCTTCTCATTTAAAATGACATAGTTAGATAGAAAATTAGCTAAGAGGTTGTGTGCAGTGGCTTATGGCTGTAATCCCAGCATTTTGGGAGGCTGGGGCAGGATTGCTTGAACCCAGGAGTTCAAGACTAGTCTGGGCAACATAGCAAGACCTACCTCTTCTCTACAATTTTTTGTTGTTGTTGTTAGCTGAGCGTGGTGGCATGTACTTGTAGTTCCAGCCACTTGGGAGGCTGAAGCCGGAGAACAGTTTGCCCCTAGGAGGTCAAGGCTGCAGTGAATCATGATTGTGCCACTGCACTCCAGCCTGGGTAACAGAGTGAGATCCTGTCTCAAAACAAACAGTTAAAAAAATAAAAGAAGAAAATTAGAGTGAATAGTGAAGAGCAAATGAAGGAGGTTTGAGGAGAAGCAAGAATAGTCATTTTGGGGAGTAGGAAAGTTTACAAGGGCAGCTTTGGTAAGATTGCTTGGCATCATTGAGTGCCATTTGAGGTTTGTGATCATAAATACATAGTGAGGTCAGTCAGCTTGGTTATGTGATTTTTCGCCAGCAACATTCAGCTGATTGGGAATAGGCACTAGAAAATGCAGATAATTGCATTTAACCAGGATTGGAGTTTTGTCAGGTGGCAGTGATGGAGAGGACAAGTGATTGAGGGTATTTGCAAGGGAGAGATTATAATTATGGAACACAGCATCAAAGTTGGACAAAGGAGGTGCAGAACCAGAGCAGGTAGATAATGAAAAAGTGGCTGAGATGGGAGGATTTCATGAAGTCAAAAATTGTAGTGGAGGGGATACTAGAGCAAGTTAGTTAGAAACAAGGGAAGTTATTTGAGAGTATAATTGAAACATAGTGAAGAAAGAAAGATCTCTTAGGTTAGTGCAGTTTTCTAGTTCATTCCTTTGTCCTTTCCCCTTTCCCCTCTCCCCTCTCCCGTCTCTCTTTCCTTTCTTTCTTTCGACAGAGTCTCACTTTGTTGCCCAGGCTGGAGTGCAGTGGTGCAGTCTCAACTCACTGCAACCTCTGTCTTCAGGATTCAGGTGATTCTCCTGCCTCAGCCTTCTGAGTAACTGAGACTACAGGTGCACCACCATACCCAGCTAATTTTTTTGTTTGTTTGCTTGCTTTTTAGCAGAGACGGGGTTCACCGTGTTGGCTAGGCTGGTCTTGAATTCCTGACCTCAAGTGATCCGCCTGCCTCAGCCTCCCAAAGTGCTGGGATTACAGGTGTGAGCCACTGTGCCTGGCCAAGATAATGCAGTTTTTGGTTTTGGGGATAGTAGCTCTGGGTTTCCTAATAACTGGGAGTAGGAGCCCTTAGAAATCACCTGTTTCCCTTCTCTAAGAGGCTAGCTTTGAGATGGACCCCTTTCTCCTTGTATACATCTGGAGCTTAGTTTAGACATCATAGAAAGTAACCACTGTTCACACAAGTTTCTGGGTCTCTTCTCTTAATGACATCAGTAATAGCAGTGTTTTGGCCAGTGCACAGCTGTTGGAAACTTATGTGCAATATGTGTACACCAGCTCCCAAACCCTATATTTGTCGTTTCTTGTTTTTCACTTTTTTCTTGAGATGAGAGTCTCACTGTGTTGCCCAGGCTGGTCTCAAACTTCTGAGCTCAAACAAACCCTCCCCACTCAGCCTTCTGAGAAGCTAGGATTATAGGCTCACAACACCACATCTGGCTTCATTTGTTATTTAAAGTCTTGGTAATGGGAAGAGATAGAGTGCAAGATTATATCCAAGGTAAGTTTTTCAGTGATTTTTTTCCAGTCTTGATTCAGTTTCCTCAGTGAATAAGTATGTTTTAGTGGAAACGATCTTGGAATCTTAAAAACTAGTATTGAACTTTTGTCCCTTTATTCACTAGCTGTGAGACCATGAGTGTATTATGTAACCACTTTGGGCCTAAATTTCCTTTGATCTGTGAAAATAATAATAGGGCCTATCTTACAGAGATATTGTGAAGATGCAGTGTGATAATGTATGCAGAGTTGTGGTACATAATATGCTCTGAGTAAATAGAAGTTGCTGGTGGTTTTACATTGAAATCAGCAAGTAGGAGAGGAATGTTCCCTCTTTTGTCTTCCACAGTGGTTTACATTCCCTAACTGGAAAGTGGCAACCATATCTACTCCTTCTCCCATGAGTCACTGCTGCCACATGCGGCCACTGCCTCCATCTAGACCGGCTTCTCAGATTTCAGTGTGCCTGAGAATTACCTGGGGCTTTTGTTATAATTTGATTTTGAGTTTGTACGTCTAGGGTGGGGCCTGAGATTCTTCAAATCTAAGGAACTTCCAGTTGATGCTCATTCTGCTGATGCTGGTCCACGTGTCACATTTGAGTAGCAGAATTCTATTAGAGATTGCCCTGTGGGAATCCCTGCTATTTTAAGCTGAGAGGAAGTGAGAGAAAAAGAGCCTCATTCTTTCAAATTTTTGTTTTTAAGTCAGATTCATAAACAATACTTATACATCTCATTTCTCTAGCTTAGTGTTGTTATGGTGAGCCTGCATTGTCTCTACCAGTCCAGAAAGTGATAGGAATATAAATTATGTATAGAGGGCTGCCTCGGATGTCATTTGAAAAATTTTCAGTGCCTGATTTCTCAGGTACATTTTTGAAAAATTGTTCTGGCTCCCCAGGTGTACCTACTTCTCCCCACTATCCTCTTATAACCACAGAGAAAGTCATATAAAACAAGCAGCCTCCCATCCTGGCCAACGTGGTGAAACCCCTTCTCTACTTAAAAAAAAAAAAAAAAAAAAAAAAAGGAGCCTGGTGTGGTGATACACACCTGTAATCCCAGCTACCTGGGAGACTGAGGCAGGAGAATTGCTTGAACCCGGGAGTTAGAGGTTGCAGTGAGCAGAGATCATGCCACTGCACTCCAGGCTGGGCCACAGAGCAAGACTCCATCTCAAAAACAAATAAACAACAACAACAAAAACAAGTAGCCTCTTGAATTATTGGAGTCAGAGGCAGAGAATCTAAAATGTGGCTCTACATCCTTTCTGCCCACCATACTCTTTACATTGCAAAATGCAGCATTTTTGAGAAGTAGGAATTCAGGATGCAAGGTTAGAATTATTGACAATACCTATATTGCTGTCCCAGATTATCTGATTTTTCTTTCTCAGAAGCAAGCATGCCAGAAACTTCCTCTGTGGGCCCTCCTCAGAAGGCTTTCGTCAATACTCAAATTGATGGATTTTCTCCTCTGAATTAATAGATAGGCTGATAAGCTTCAGAGTACAGTCACACAGTCTGGTAACATACTCTCCTGTTAGAATGAAATATGTATGCATCTTAATCTCTGTGTATAAGATTATGATTCTTTTTAGAGTCTCTTTATAGTGTGGAATTTTTACACCTTTTTGTCTCTTAATGTGGATTGTCCATAGCTATAAAGCATAACTTTCCTTATTTGACTTTGATAATTGGAAAGAAATCTTTTTTTCTCTTACCACTTTGTTTCCCTTTCTTTTCTTTCTTGCCTTTTTTTTTTTTTAAGGTAGAAAAATGTGAACATGCAGGAGCATGTATAAAAAAGATAGCTTAGCTTCCCTGTGGGTTTTTGGTTTTTGTATGTATTCATAAAGGAAACATACCAGAAGAGTTGGTGGACCAGACTGACCACCTAATTTTAAAGATTATGATCAGAAAGGGAACGGATGCATTTATAGTAGGAATTTACAAGCCCTTCCTGTAGTTTCAAATAAGTTTATAATGGTTCCATCTGTAGGAATTTTAGAGCTAGTTTCAGAGTTTTTGTGACATATTTAAACTTTTCTTACTTTATTTTGAGGGTTTCTTTTCTCGGTATTTTTCTCCTGCTTTGCTGCAGGGTATGTCTTTTATCTTTATCCTCTCCCAAACTTGATTAAAAGATAACACTATAAAGTTACAGTATGAAAATCCAAAATTTCATTGTATTTATTTTATTGATTCTTGGTTAAGAATGAATGACTGAGGGCTGGGCATAGTGGCTTATGCCTGTAATCCCACACTTTGGGAGGCCCAGGCGGGTAGATTGCTTGAGGTCAGGTGTTCGAGACCAACCTGGGCAACATAGTGAAACCCCATCTCCACCAAAAATACAAAAAAATTAGCCAGGCATGGTGGTGTGCACCTGTGGTCCCAGCTACTCTAGAGGCTGAGGTGGGAGGATCGCTTGAGCCTGGGAGGCAGAGGTTGTGATAAGCCAAGATCATACCACGGCACTCCAGCCTGGGATACAGAATGAGACCCTGTCTCAAAAAAAATGAATGAGAGTCAGTAATAATAAGACTCTTCAAAGAGTTTGAAAAACTAATCTCTTATCACTGTAATTTTAATATAGTTATTTAGAGTATAGTATAGGGTTTTGACTTAAGATTTAGGGCAGGAGCTGTGAAACTAGAGAGGAAAGTTGTATATAAAAACTGATTATGGACATATAAAAGAGTCTAAGTAACAATTTATGGAAAGTCAAGGTTTATTTAGAAAACAGGCTGTCTCAGTTTCAGGCTTAGAAGTCCTTATTCCTCTTTTGTACTAGAAATGTGGTAATCCTGCCTTCAGAAGAAGCAGAGAGATTCATTGTAAAGAAAAAGAAAAGGTTTGGGTGAGGCCAAGATGAATACCTGCTCCACCTTTCCAAGTTTAAATGAGCTGGGAGTTTAAAGTGGGAGGAGAGAAAAGGCTGTTCCGTGGAAAGCATGTGTTTAGTGTGGAAGTAAAGGAAAAGTGAGAAACCCCACTATGGCAGGTAATTAAGCCCGGAGCACATATAATGGGAAGTATTAGGTAGGGAGAGCCAAAGTACCTGCATGGGGCCTACCTTGAGTGTGAGACTTGTAGACCTTACTTGGAGATTTTATAAAGAGAAAGGAGCTGTTTCAACATGTCTTGAAGGGGAATCAAAACCCTGAGGCAGCTGGAAGGTGGTTTTTGTTTGCTTTTTATATTGTTTTGTTTTTTCTTTAATGAGTGGAAGGAGTGGAATATTCCTCAAAACATGTTACCCTTTGAGAATGTTTTTTGCACCTACTGTGTGCCAGGTACTTACGCCAAAGACTCCATGGCCAAAAATAGATGAGCCAAGACCAGATGTTAGATCTCCACCCTGGAAGATGTGGAAAGGAGATATGATTGGAGTAGTAGCCTGCAGAGGTGGTCAATGTCATGTTACAAACAACAGGCCCCACAGAGAAAGGAGCTCATTCACCACCGGGGTGTGCTTTTGGATTTGAACATGGAGAAATGGGTCAGGGAATCAGGGACCAAGCATGGGCATTGGTATTAGCATTAGAATATGGGGAATAACTCTATTGTTTTCTGAATAAAAACCATTAGGTTATTTGATACTTGTTCACCACTGGGTGTAATGAATGAAACCTGCCTGGCATATAGGAGGCACTTAATAAATGTTTGAACTGAACTAAAATTAGAAATTAGAAATCCTGGTGGTCACCAGGAACATGGCAGATGGTTTACATAGTTACATCGTTACAGCACCTCCGAAAGGAGTATTACACTTATTTTTTGGTTGAGGAAACAGAAGCCTGGACAGGTTGGAAGATTTCCCCAGGCCATCACGATAGTCTTCTAGATCTAGAATTTAAAGCCAGGCCATGTACCTTAGCCTGTCTGTGTGGTTAGTAAAGTGTCTGTATCATGCTAGGAGCTCATGATGCACTTGACTCCTTCAGAAGCTAGGCTATGTTGATCTGAACTAGGGCAATAGTAATAAAAAGGATGAAAAGCCTGTTCAGTTTTATATCTAAGTTTTCCTGTGTTTTAAAATCTTGTAAGATTGAGAATTATTGGTGGTGAAATGACAAAGAATAGTGGTGTCAAGCAGACATTGTGTGAAAGGAATGTGGGCTCTGGGGCAGGTTCTGTGTGCATGCTTGGCTTCTGCAAGAGGCTCCAGAATTGGAGCATAGGGGAAGCTTGGCTGACTCGCCTTGATCTTAGAGGGCAGAGTTTTTTGATTGTTTCATTCATGTTTAAAGAACTCATCTTAAACTAATTTACATCTAGCACTAGAAACTGGTGCTGGTGGTTTATTACTGACCCCACCCATCCCTGTCTTTTGCAATAATCTTTGTGAGTGGTGACTGTGTTTCTAGAAGTAGAATTACAGAGAGAGATTCCCTGAAGGCAAATACAGAGAGAGTGTGCTGTACACTCTAGTTCAGAAACTCAGGACTGGGAACTCCCAGAGAGAATGAGAGAGTGAGAGAGAGGGGGGGGGGGGGAGAGGGAGGGACGGAGGGAGGGTGAGAGGGGAGGAGAGAGAACAACAGAACAGTCAGTTGGAGAGGAGGGGGGAGGAGACCAGTCTTTTTTAAAGGATTTTTTAACTCAAGTGATTTTGGGGGGTTTCTCCGCACCTTGAACCCGTGTCCCCCTCCCCCCCAGTTCTGGCATCTTCTTTCCTACGGTTCACTGAAGTGCCTTTTTGCAGTCCAGGATCAACTGACCGCTGAGTTTGAGCAGCCCGATCTGACATGATGTACCTCTGGGTGAGTACAGAGTGCTGTGGGTGAGGGTTTGCACTTGCACATATAAGGAGTGGAAAGCTGCGAGATTCTGCTCTTGCACAAATGGCCTCCCCACAGAGCACAGACTGCCACATCCCCTTCTGTTCCAAGGTGTTAGGTTTTTAAAACCTAGCAGTGATTGTGACACTGTTTTTTTTCCCTCCCACTATGTTGTTTATCTTGTCAGACTTAGGCGCAAGGGCTGAACTCCCTGCGCAGTATCATCCCCTGGGCTTGGTGGGTTTGGAGAAGGCAAGTGGGGCAGGTGAAGTGAGCTGGTTGCTTCAGGAACTGCAGTCTTCTTGGTGGGTCAGGATCAACTTGTGTTTTGTTTTGGGGGTACTGACCTTGATAAGCCATGTCTTTACATATTGAGAGCCAGTAGGTGGCATGATTATTAATTAGGAATAAGCTTTCATAAGTTTTTATCTAATAATTTTTATTTCACAACATTCTTGTGAAGTAGGTCACTCACTACTGTTATTAAAATTGTATGAGGAAAGTAATTAAGTCACAAAGAGTGACTTGCCCATAGTTAGAAATCAAGTCTAAAGTAGTTAGAATAGTAATTAATAATCAGATGTTATAAAGCATTTTATATTTAGCAGGAATGTAGAACCTTCTATTATTATAATTTACCGTTAATTGTAGTATTTTAGTTTGGGATGGAGGAAAACTTCCTGGGACTGGACAAGTTTGTAAATTATGAAATGTGATAACTTTTAGAGGAATGTCGGGGAAATAATACAGAATCCACCCCCCTGCCCTTGCCTGCAATTTTAGTTGTTAAGACAAGAACATCTTATATAGTTCGTTGCAAAGATGGCAGTATGTCTCTTGAGCAAACAGCTGTTGTGTGTTGCTAAGGGAGCTTACTAGACGTGATGCCGTTGTCTACTAGTCAGCTTTTTGAAAGTTTCCTTTTGCCCTTTGCCCTTCAACCCAGATGTCTGGAATTGCAGGAACCTACTTGGCTAATGCAGGCTAAATTTATAAATATCAGAAAGGAAATTTTAACTGAGTTTACTGCGATGGAACTTGTTCACAGAAGATGTATATGTGTGTGTGTTGGGAGGGGCTGCTGCTTCTGCTTGTCCCTTCGTGTTTGAATATGACCTTGAAATATTATTTTCTCTCCTCTATTGATTTTTTTTTTTGTAGTATTTGTAAGAGCTCAGAACTTTTCTGACACACTAATGTGAATTAAGTAGTTTTTGCCTCCCTGTAAACTAGTCATTTGTACAGGCTCTTTGCAGCCTTGTGATTGGGATTGATCAGCCCTGTTGACCCAAACGATGGACTGCTCTGTCTTTTGATTTGTTTGGAAGAGGAGTTATGAAAGGAAGCCAGTTGAATTAATCTCATTTTCACTCACTTAATGTTTGATGAAGGCAGACAGTGACAGTCTCCTTAGTTATTTCCTTTGTGCTCATGTTGCAGTTATTTGTGTATTTATCTCAATTCTTTTTACTTACTAACGCCAGAACAGAGCTTCCCTACCAATGCCACATGCCAGATTGAGATTAAAATATGTCAAGATTACTATACCCCACAACCCTTGGAGTAGCCAGCTGGGCTCGGGAGTCCCCTGGTCACTTTGATCATGTGCGCCCTAATTTGTTTATCACTTTGTGCTATAAACAGTATTTCCTGTGTGTGCCATGACACCTGAAGGCTTGGGTAGCACTGCCTAGAGGGCAAAAAGCAGGTCAGCTCTCTCTGTTTTATTATTTGTATCATCTAGCCCAGTGCCCCACACCTTTGTTTACTTCATTGAGGATATGCAGAAGGAGCTATAGCTGAATAATACCGAGATATGTAGAAGAAAACCTAGGTGGTCAAGCATTTAGTGCGAGGCACAGAGGAGCTGCTGTGGACTAGAAATAAGAGATGGGAGTTTTAGTGTAGGTTTAGCCAGTACCAAGCCATGGGACTTTTGGCAGTCATTTAACTGTTCTGAGAGTCAGTTTCCACATCCATAAGATAATTGAACTGAACCTCTTCTGATTCTGAAATTCTGTGAAGTGAATTTTATGTGGCAGTAGATATGCCTGAAAGATGCCCAGTTCTGCAAGGATGTTTAGGTCCAGGTAAACAGAGAAAACTGTCATACATGCATATATCACCTCCATTGCATGTTTGGTTTGGTACCGGTAATGGGTCAGAGGCATTCTGAGTATTCTAGAAAAATTATGTTCAGTTGTCAGTACCTCTGAATTGATGCAGATGGACATTTTTAGAACCTATAGAATTGAAGAGTAAGAGTTATAACTTATCCAAGCGTTTTCATCTGTGTAGTTAGATGCAGCTCATTAATTTGCTCCTATGTGTCTAGAACTCTGAGATAGAATGCTACCTCTCTCTATGCTGCTTTGGCAGATTTTCTCCCCGCTTTCTTGTTGAGTCATCCTCTTTTTTAGTGAATTAGGTAATGTCAGTTGGCTGCATGAGGTGGTGAAGAGAATATAGGTTTCAGAAACTTGACTAGGTCTAAATCCCACCTCTGCCATTTTCAAGTGTATGACTTAACAAGTTACTTAACCTCTCTGAACCTTAGTTTCATTTGTCATATAGGAAAAATAGTGGCACTCAGGATTTTTGTAAAGTTTTAAGATAATCTATGAAACATACTTAACATAATGAGGTGGCACACAATAGTTACTCAGTAAATAACTAGTACAAGTCAACTTTTTGCTTTGAACATTTGCATAGGCAGACTACTCACCACCCCAAAGTGTTTTCTCTATCATGTTGAGGTTATCTTTGAATTTATATAGGGAGAACTTTGATGATAAACACAAACTAGTTTTCTCTAAAATATTTTCCCTCTTAATTTGTATGTTAAGTACTCATGGCTTGGGAGCCCTTGTTAAGGTTGCCTCCTGATGGAGAAAATTCCCATTGTTTGTTGTAAACTTTTTTTTTTTTTTTTGAGGTGTATGGTACCAGTAAGAATTCATTATGTCATTTATTCTCCGTCTATCATCATCATCATCAAAAACAGGGAGAGAAAGAGACAGGCAGAGATATGATTCCTATATTGAGGGAACTTGTTTAATGATTATATAATTTATATCCAATAAACATAATTATAGACCACTTAACTTAAATTACCAGAAGACAGGATGTATTCTCCCTGTCTGAGCAGTATTAGCTAGACAGGCACCAGGCACTCTCTTACTCATACTCTGTATGGATTAACTTCTGGATTTTATTTTGAACTGTTGTTTTGTCATAGATCAATTCCATCTTCTTAATAAATCAGTTCAGCCAACATTTAATGAATGCCCATAACGGGTAGAGCTAGCTGTTGCAAATACAAAGATGATTAAAGGTTAAAGACATAGTGTGCCCTTAACAAATTTATAGCATCATGGTAGGGAATGTGTACACAGGTAGTAATGATTTTTGTATGCTATTCAATTAAGAAGGTGCTTTTATGTGTTAGTTCATCCTCACAACATTGTTAAGGACTAAATATCATTATTTCTGTTGTCAAGCGAGGAAAACGACCATGAGAAGCACATGACAAGCAGTAAATGGCAGACCTGGAAACTCAGTCTCATCTTTTAAAAACTATGGCTCTTAGGCCGGGCACGGTGGCTCATGCCTGTAATCCCAGCACTTTGGGAGGTTGAGGTGGGTGGATCACTTGAGGTCAGGAGTTTGAAACCAGCCTGTCAAGCATGGAGAAACCCCATCTCTACTAAAAATACAAAGTTAACCAGGCGTGGTGGTGCAGGCCTGTAATCCCAACTACTCTTGAAGCAGAAGACTCTCTTGAACCCGGGAGGCGGAGGTTGCAGTGAGCAGAGATTGCAACATTGCACTCCAGCCTGGGCAACAAGAGCAAAACTCCATCTCAGAAAACAAACAAACAAACATAAAAGACAATGGCTTGTATTTCATTTTACATTGTCTTCTTTTGGGAGAAGCTGTTTTTGTTTTGTTTTAAACTGTCTATTGAGTGATAACATTTCATTTAGTCCTCAGTGCACCTGGAAGTTAGCTATTATTTTCATTTTACAGATGAGAAAGCAGATATTTCAGTAACTTGCCAAAGTCATACAATTTACAGTTGTCAGAGTTAGAATTTGAACTGTGGTTTGTCCATCCCTAAAACTTGCCGTACTGCAATTAACCTTCTATTTGTTCATTGGTTTCCAGTTTATCAGTATAGTAATCCTCCTTATCCATGGCTTCATTTTCTGTAGGTCTAGTTACCCAAGGTCAGTCACAGTCCAAAAGTATTATGATATTTTGAGAGAGAGAAAGAAACCACATTTGTGTAACTTTTATTGTAGTGTAATTATTCAATTTTATTATTAGTTACCACTAATCTCTTACTATGCCTAATTTGCAAATTAAAATTTAATCATATGTATAGTGTATATGTATAGGAAAAAACATAGTATATATAGAATTCAGTACTACCCAAAGTTTCAGGCATCTGCTTGGGGGTCTTGGAACATATTTCCCACAGATTAGAGGGTACTACCTGTACTACTGTTAAGTATGGCACAAGGCTAGAGTAGAGAAATGAAAATAAGGAAACCTGAATTCTCTTTTCGTCACCCTTAGTTACTTGAAACAGTTACTTAATTGTGTATACCTTGATTTTTCAGGTTATGAAAAAGATATATTCTTAGGAACATTCATGGAATAATCTTAGAAAAATACATATCAGTCATTTTAGAAATGAAGTAGTAACTGATGGCTTTATCATAAAACTTGGAAATCACAGACTATAAGTCACAGTTTTGGGTTTTGATTGTGTCATTTGTCAGCGTATCTGAGCTTGCTTCCTAATCTTTAAAATGGGACCAAGAGATTATTGAGATAATCTGTGAGAGTTTCCTGGAAGTTCTTTTGTGTGAGGCAAAAATAAGGTAATAACAATGCCTTATTATTCAGGTTTCATGTTAAAGTCATTTAGTGCTTTTTAATCACTATTTTGCCACTCTAATTCATCTACACAATTAGAGAACTAGACTTAATAGTAAATTGAGTTACCACAAAATGTAGACAACGGCTCAGTTCAGATAACATTTAAGGTCAGGTACTGTGATAGGTATTTGACGGTGAAAAGCCATTAAAAGATTCTAAGTAGGATTGAGAGTAGGGTGAAGTGACGTTTATAATTAGATTTGTTTTTTAAAAAGATGCCTACATAGATTAGAGGAGAGTAAAAGTCCAGAGAGAAGTTAGGTGATTGTAAGAGTCTCAGTGACAGGGAACGTCACGATAGAACGGGCTAGCGGGAAGCAGTGGAATTGTATGAGAGGTTCAGAAGGGAAAATTGACAGGATGTTATAATTTGGAAGAGGACCAGGTTTTTTTGTAGGAGGGAAGATGAAAGGGATCATGGGTTTGGTTTTGGATTTGGTACTTGGGGTAACTTTGAGATGTTCAAGAGGAAATACTGTTTACATGACCACCTAGGTCTGGAAATATAAGGAAAGGTAGAGGCTTTCCTCTATTGTGAGAAATCTGCATGCCCTTGGTGGGTCTCATAATGGCTTAAAATGATAATGGTCTAGGAAGGATGTAGAGCAAGAAGAGAAGTTAATGCTTGGAGAAAAATAAATTTTCCCTCCTCTCCCCTCCCCTCCCCTCCCCTCCCCTCTCCCCCCCCCCCCTCCCCTCCCCTCCCCTCCCCTCTTGCCTCCCCTCCTGCCTCCCTTCCCATCTGTCCTCCTGCCTCTCCTCTTGTCTCCCCTCCCCTCTCCTCTTGCCTCCCATCCCTTCCCCTCCCCTATCTTCCCCTCCCCTCTTGCTTTCCCTCCCCTCTTGCCTTCCCTCCCCTCTTGCCTCCCCTCCTCTTCTTCTTGAGATAGTCTTGCTCTGTCGCATAGGCTGCAGCACAGTGGCATTATCTCGGCTCACTGCAACCTTTGCCTCCCGGGTTCAAGCGATTCTCCTGCCTCAGTCTCTTGAGTAGCTGGGATTACAGGTGCCTGCCACCATGACCTGCCTAAGTTTTGTATTTTTAATAGAGATGGGGTGGTTTCACCACGTTGGCCAGGCTGGTCTTGAATTCCTGACCTGAAGAGATCTGCCT